GAGCCCTGAGATCATAACCTGAGCCTTAACTAACTGACTGAGCCACCCAGGCACCCCTATATAATTAATTTTTGAAACTAAGTTCCCCTATTTATCTCAGGTTGCCTTGATTTTGTTCATTTCAATCTAGTTGTCTGGCCTCTGATGAGTACTTTGAATTTTAATTTCATTACATGTAGTATTGGATAACTCTCTTTCAAGCTTTGAGTTCTCTAAATGTTTAATAAGCATGTATCCCCATTCAAGTCATCAATAAAATGCTAAACAGAACAAAGTCCAAAACAACATTCTGGAGCACTCCATTAGAGCTTTCTTTCTGGCTAACATGAAGATACTACCCTTCCCTTTATGGTATGTGGATTCAAATTTACCTCAATGATACCTGGAGAACTGGCAATAAAGTTGACTTATTGCTATCCTTGATTGTTGACCTAGGGTTTCTTAAGCCCCACTTTGTGAAATCAAGATTTGACTTAATGATAGTCGCTTGGTTTCCAACAAGAGTGCCAAGACAATTTAATGGGGAAAGACTAGTCTTTTCACCAAAGGTGCTGGGACAATTGAACATCTGCACAGAAAAGACTGAAGTTGACCACTCTCACACTATATAAAAAACAAAATGAATCAGAGACCTCAATATAAGAGCTAAATCTATAAAATGTCAAAAGAAAACACAGGCATAAGTCTTCATGACCTTGGATTAGATCATGGATTTTTAGAAATGACACAAAGCACAAGCAACAAATGAAAAAAAAATTTTTTCAATATACTTCATCAGAATTAAAAATTTTGTTCTGCAAAGGACACCATCAAGGAAAATGAAAGAATCTACAGAATGGGAGAAAAGTTTTGCAAATCATTTTGCAAAAAGGAATGAAATTCTGATACATGGTACTACTAGGATGAACTTTGAAAACATTATGCTAAGAAAAAAAAAACCCGCCACCACCACTACCAACAAAAATGGTCACAGAAGACCACACATTATATTATTCCATTTACATGAAATGTGCAGAACAGTCAAATATGTAGAGACACAGAAGTATTGGTAATATCCTGGGTCTGTGGGGAGGGCAGGATGGGAAATGATAGCTAGCAGGTACACGGTTTCTTGTAGGGGTGATTAAAAATCCTAAAATTGATGGTGCTGATGGTGGCCCAATTCTGTGAATATATTAAAAACCACTGAACTGCACACTCTAAATAGGTGAAGTGTATGGTATGTGAATTGTATCTTAATATACAATATATAATTAGAGTTTAGAATCTGGGGCAGTGTTTTGTCAATGAGAAAAAACAGGATGATTGGGTCACAACCCAGTTTCCAAAGAAGGAATAGAGAGAAGCCATTGACCAGCATCCTTTTTATAATTTTAGAATAAGGAGCTTACAAACATTTAGGGAAGAAGGTGGTGACCATTAAGAGCCAATGTAGGTCTATGCTATATCAACACCATTTTCCTTTCAACAGATTTGGTAGGTTGGGAAAGTTCTGTAGACATAATGCACCCTGATTTCACCTAATAGGGTTCTACTGTATTGAAAGTAATTTAAAGATGAAGTTTTATGGATTCTTGAAGAATATCTCCTTCTAGATAATACTTTAATGAATACCCAAAAAGAGCCATAGATCTTGCTTCATCAGAAGAAATTTTTTATGGCTTCTCTAGTTAACTGGAACACGTGTGGCCTACAAAGGACTGGTGTGAGACTTGGATCGATGTCAGTGTTAAGACTTGCATCTCTAACAGATGTCACATTTAGCTTCTGGAGTCATTTAGTAGGTGACATCAGCAATAATGAACAACATTAAAACAGAACATAAATTTTGCCTATGGTGAGGCTATATAATACTGACTGTTACCAAAACTGCAGTGCCAGAAATAAGCTTCAAGAGGGAAAGCAACTCTCACCACCATCATCTTCCTCTTTATGTGTCTGTCTCTCTCTCTGTGTGTCTTAATCTCTCTCTCCACCCCCGAATCCCCACCTCTCTCTAGTATTGTTGTATGGATTGAGTGTGAATAAAAAGAGAGCAGGGAGTGGGGGGGGGGAAGATATAGTCAAATACAGCTCTTAACCACAGTGAATCTAGAATGAGGTGCTGGAGCTGGTTTGCCCTGGCTCACTTGTGCTTGTGCTCATCTTTTCCCAACTCTGTATTCACTGAAGTCATTTTAGCAGCTTGAAATCATCCATGGTGGGAGGATACACCACAAAAATTGGCAAACGCTACAACTCTGGCCTTTATTTCCCCTGGAGAGCCTGTTGTTAAACACTTACCAGCATAGGCCTGGCAAGCCTCTGAGTGCTGGCCCACTAAAGCACTGTGGAACAACAGGACATATTGTCTCTGAATGTCAACAGCATGCAAGTCATAGCACAAGGACACCAAGAGGAGAGCTGTGGTAATACACACAACAGGAAACAACACCCACATCCACGGTGAAGAGCAACGCTGACTTAGAGTCAGGGTTAAAAGAAAATGTAGTGGTACTTTTAAATAAACAACAGCATCCAATTTCTATGCAAGGTATATATTCTAGTGAAATAGCTTATTTTTATTTTTTTAATGATTTTTTAAATTTATTTCTGAGAGAAAGAGACCATGTGAGCAGGGTAGGGTCGGAGAGGGAGATACAGAATCTGAAATCTGTGCTGACAGCTCAGAGCCTGACACGGGGCTCGAACCCACAAAGTGTGAGATCATGACCTGAGCTGAACCGACTGAGCCACCCAGGCACCCTGAAATGGTTTATTTTTAAATATGTGACTATAGGAAGTATTGTATTTGTTAAGTGTTTTAAATTTCTTGATTTCTTAGGAACAACTTTGCATAATCATAAAATTCAAGAATCTATGGGCCCATCCATACCCTTTGGAGTTTTGTCCTTTGCCTCTGACTCACACAGTGGCAGGTGTGGCATCGAGGACTATATCCCCCAATAAGAGAACTTTTCTTATAAAGCAAGAATAAATAAGTGGAACAATGTTTGGATTAGTAGGAATGGTTAGAATAAAAATATAAAGTAAATATACTCAAAATAGATTCTTGGGAAGACTGAAAACAAAATTAGGTGAGCATATGCTTATACCTATGTTACACTGTAGCCAAGAATTCCAATGGAAAAACCAACATCAGTAGAACTGGATTTTGTTCCCCAAAATGCAGTCAGAAATAGCAGGATCTGCTTTCTATGGATACATCCAGAGCCTTCTCTTATGGAAAGGCAACATCTGTTTTAAGAAGTTCTTTGAAGAAAAACTACATAAACATGTGGGAACAGCGTGTTATATACACTCTCTTGCTTAAAGAGTTGCCAGAGGAAGTAGGGAATTGAGCCCCCAAGACAGAGGCCATTCAGTTACCTTGGCTAAGGCAGCAACACCAATTTCAGCTTCTCTGATGTTTAACACATCAAGAGAATGGAGGGAAATAGGGTTATGACTGGAATCAATCTTGCCACTTTCCTGGCATGATATCAAAGGTTGCTTAGGTATAACTTTACAAACGAAAAATTAAAATTTGGGGGAAAGCATTTGGGAGAAAGAATTTAAAAATTTAGTTGAATTTTTGCAAACCTGTCCTCATAATTATCCCAAAAAGAAAATTTAGCAGGCCCAGTGTTTCATCAAATCTTTCAGACCAGGGGTTCTCAATCTGGGGTCCTTGGATAGAATTCAGAGAGTCTGTGAACTTGGATTAAAAAAAAAGATAGACATCTTGGGGGTGCCTGGGTGGCTCAGTTGGTTAAATCTTCAACTCTTGCTTTCAGCTCAGGTCATGATCTCACATTTAAACCCCAGGTCAGGCTCTGTTCTAACAGCATGGAGTCTGTCTGGGATTCTTTCTCTCCCTCTCTCTCTCTGCCTCTGATATGCTGGAGCCCTCTTTCTCTCGAAAATAAAATAATAAAATAAAATAAAAATTTTCAATTTTTACGAAAAGATAGACAACTTTATTTTCACTAACCTCAAACTGGAATTTATTGTTGCCTTCATTTATGAATGTAAGCAACAAACCACATTACTATGGTTCACCAGGAACAGAATCACAGATACTTTTTTATCACATTGCAGTAGTTACAGATATCTTCACATACCACTTACTCTCATGCCATTTTGAAACTACCGTAATGACCCAGCTTGCTATGTCTTGTGACTTGAGTACAGATGCAGGATCTGTACATATATGGCTGTATCAAAAAGTTGGTGTTTTAATGCTTTGAAAACTATACTTCAATAAAATTGGCTTCCCTTGTGAAACTACGTCATTCTTTGTGTTTTACGTCAAGCATTTTGAAACATTATCCGGAGAAAGGAGAGCTTGGGTGGCTCAGTCAGTTAAGCATCCAACTTTGGCTAAGGTCATGATCCCATGGTTTGTGGGTTCAAGCCCCACATCAGGCTCTGTGCTGACAGCTTGGAGCCTGGAGCCTGCTTCAGATTCTGTGTTCCTCCCTCTCTCTCTGCCCCTCCCCATCTCATGCTCTCTCTCTCTCTCTAAGATAAAAAATAAACTTAAAAAACATTATCCAGAGAAAAAGTCCATAGGTTCCATTAGATGGCCTAGGGTATCAGCGGCTTTCAAGGTTAAGAAACACTGTAGGTGGAAGTGAAGAGTCATAAGGCAATAGGTCTTTTCTGTGTGTTAGATGGGCCAAAGAGGAGGGTCTTGATACACCTATTCAGTTATGATCTCTATATAAAGTTTGAAGACAAAGATGATTTATATAGTATTTCCACCCTTAAAAAGAAAAAAATGCACAATGAAATAAGAAGAGTAAGAATCTAAATCTGCAAGGAAGTGAGAGGCAGGGAGAAATATGTTAAGAACATCTGAAAGTGTGGAACCCTTCCTTGTTGATCTGACCAGATAATCCTGGGGCACAGAGTGCATGCCTGAGATGGAAATGAAGATACTGAAACATCTGAGGGCCAAAGCTGCAAGCAAGAAGCCAGGACAACTCTGTGGTCTGTCAATTCTGGTATTACGTTACCTTCCTGTGTGATCTTGGACAAGTGACACAATCTTTGGTGATTCAGCCTTTCCACTTTCTTGGCCCCATGTTCCATTCAGCTGGCTGTGCAGAAGTCCCAAGATAAACAGCTTGCTGAAAGAGAGACAGCATTGATGATTTTTTTAAAAGGAAAGACAATGCCAAGGATCCACTTTTAGGCCTTCCATGATGGATGGTTCCTTTCCTACCTTCTGTTCCCACCCTTTGTCCTACATTCCTACAAGAATACACTCTTTGTATTCTTGGTTTCACCACCAGCTTGGCTTTCCATTTGTCTTCAGCCCACTATCTGCAGTAGTCAGAGAATGCAGCTCTACCTCAAAGGCCATCCTGTGTTCAGCATCAAAGGAAGGACAAATGTCTTCACTGCCTTTTTCTCCCAAACACCTTCCTCTGCCTTCTAGCAAAACCTACAGTCAGACCATCGCATGACACTGGCATGCAGCTCTATATCTCTAAACTTGAAAAACGTAAGAATTCTCTCTAAAAGAAAAAATTTTCACTTCCTTCCAAAGAAATGAATATCAATCACCAGTGCAAAAGAGTTTTGACTTTACAACACAAAAATACAAATGGCTGCAGAAATACAGTTATGTGAGAATTTCCCTGGGTCTGCAGACCTCTGAAAAACACCAGTAGACATGCTTGATTACAGCTCTAATGTTACTCTTTCAATGGCTATTTGATTTTGATGAAAGTCAAAGTTTTAAATAAACTGGATGAAGCTTCGGTGATGAGATTTCAGGCTTCGGGGATTGGGCAGGAAGAGGCAATGGCAAACAGAATCCTTTTGGACAATCCTAGAATTACATGACTTTTTTTTTTTTTTAATTTTTTAATGTTTTATCTATTTCTGAGAGAGAGAGAGAGACAGTGTGAGCAGGGGAGGGTCAGAGAGAGAGGGAGATACAGAATCTGAAGCAGGCTCCAGGCTCTGAGCTAGTTGTCAGCACAGAGCCCAACACAGGGCTTGAACCCACAAATCGTGTGATCATGACCTGAGCCAAAGTCGGACACTTAACCGACTGAGCCACCCAGGCGCCCCTACATGACATTCATAATCACCAATTGTGTCTCCTTCTAAGACTGGCCTTGGTGAACTTTCTGACTAAAGCGATTCAGGTGACCTTTTCATCAAATTGAATCAAAAGAGACCAGAGGCCTCCTTATCTACCCAAAGGACATGGCAATTACATTTGTTCTCTCAAGACAGCAGCAACTTGGTGTTGGTTGTCAAATGCCTGTTGTGTCAATCTGACATCTTAATGATTGTTTAAAGATAATATTCAGTTTATCCATGAATCTTGAGAATAACCTCTGACATTATTAACCAGAAATTAATCTTCTCAACCACTGTCCATATTTAAACAATTGCCTTAGAGGTTTTTCCTCAAATAATCCAGACCATCATATTTTCCAATGTGCATTGCAAAAGAGCTAAAATAGTATTTTTTATAAGGCTGCTTCCCTTACTTTTACATTTATTTTCCATTTTAAGGCATAAAAACAGTTTTTTCCCCCATCAAACTAATTTTTATTAGTTGGATTTCCACCTGCATGTCAGGCAGAGGAAAATGTAAGTTGGAACACAGTAATAGCACCCTTCCAATCATAGCAAAAAGAAAGACAAAAAGGCTGGGATAAAGGAAATAAGAGTTTATTAAGACTTCTGATTTCACCTCAATGCCCTCTGAACCTGGTTATCTGAGACCCATGCTGATCTAATGACCACATCTATAGGATCTATGTCCTCATTCACACCCAGTCATAGTTCTCCAATCCTTCCCCCCATTTCTTAATATATGATGAAAGGAAGTTTTCTGCATTCAGGTTACTAAAAATATCTGGTGGTCAACTCAGTCCCATTTTTTCTTCATCCCACTCACTCGCAGATGGCCATGTATCATTAGGGATAAGGAATAATAGCATTGCTCATGAAGCAGGCCTGCATGGCTTTTAAGAACCTGAATTGCACCTCCTATGCACAAGCCAAAGCAAAAGAGCCTGGCACCTAGGTGTTTTACTGAATGGACAGGGAGTTGTAGCCTCAGTCCTGCCACCGGCTCACCAAACAGTTGAGACTTCCGGTTGTAGGCCAGCCCTACTGACTCTGGGGTGGGCAAGTCTTGGATATCTATGGCTTTGAACAAGTCAGAAATGCAGAGTCCTCTTGACAAGCCATAGGTAAGTGCACTTTTCATTATTGAAAAACCTACTGTCCCCTTTGTATCAAAAGGAAGCCAATGTTAGAGTTTGGGCATTGACAGCGACATGACCACATTCCCTGGAATGTTTACTCTAGCACCAGAATCACTTCACCTTTGAAACCCAGGTATTTTGGATCAAATAAACGTTCTGTGATCTGGAAATGTTTTGAATTCCATGAACTCCCTCCCCTGCAAAATGCAATAACCTACATTCACACAATTTTTTTTTCCTCCAAGCACCTGAAAGGCAAAACATTTTCTCTAACCACTAATCATTTACTTATAAGTAGTGCATTTAATGAGTACTTGGATTTATCTATTCTACATTCATGCAGATTCATCGCTCTGAATGCATCAGAACAGATGTTATAAGGGTCATAACAGCAAAGAAACATTTACACTTGTGAATTTGTTAGGCTTAAATGAAGTTGTACCAATGGTAAACTGATAAAACTGCTTGAAGGTTTATTTCAGAAGGAATTCAATTCTACAAACCTCATACTTCCTTTTCTTGGTTCAGCAGACCTATTATTTTTTTAATAAAGACACATTCCCCTCCCACTTTCTCAACTATGCCACCAAGTACATACACATAGTAAAAACTGATACCAGGAAAAACAGAAGTCTTAGCAGACAGTTCAATTGCATAGGAAAAGATTTTCCTTGAGCAAGCATGAATAATACTGAATCCTATAGACCATGTTTTTTCTTATACATGCATACTTATGATAAAGTTTAACTTATAAGTTAGGCGCAGTAAGAGATAAACAACAATAACTAATTTAGTCTCATACAAAATACTATGATATACTAAATTACCATATACTATCAAATATATTTCTAGATTTTCTATCCTGTTCTTCTTTTTTTTTTTTTAATTTTTTTAATGTTTTATTTATTTTTAGGAGAGGGAGAGAGACACAGCGTGAGCAGGGGAGGGTCAGAGAGAGAGGGAGTCACAGACTGAAACAGGCTCCAGGCTCCGAGCTGGCACTCAGCACAGAGCCCGATGCGGGGCTCGAACCCACGAACCGCGAGATCATGACCTAAGCGAAAGTCGGACGCTTAACCGACTAAGCCACCCAGGCGCCCCTCTATCCTGTTCTATTGTTATATCCTACTACTTTGAGTTTGGTTTCTCTCTTCTCTAACTTCCTTTTCTCATAAAAGAGCCAAAGAATCGCAATTTTTAAAAATAAAAGTATGGAGGTAAAAAGAGGCCATTACCATCCACATGCTAAATAATTGTTCCACCAAAACAAATTTTGTTATTGAAAACAATGGTGATTTTTCAGAATGGACCGATCCTCATTTAAAACCCTAGATGTATTGCTATATTATGCTATCCTTAAATTTTTCTTTTTAAATAGGAAGCCGAAAAAATAAATTATGAAGATCCAATCAACATTACTCTTTACAACAAAATGCTTTCAGAAGTAAAAGTGCCCATTGATTGTCCACTTATTTTTATATGAGTCTTATATAAGTATTTTTATGAGTCTGATCTTCTATTAAGAAAGCAATATCATAAAAGTTATTTTTAAATTTTTGTTTGCCCATTTAAAATTAGTCCAATAGTTCTAGTCTTTCTGAATGACTACCTCAACCAACCTTAAAACCTTTATATGGGGGTGCCTAGGTGGCTCAGTTGGTTAAGCGATCGACTTTGGCTCAGGTCATGATCACACGGTTTGTGGGTTCAAGCCCTGCATTGGGCTCTGTGCTGACGACTAGCTCAGAGCCTGGAGCCTGCTTCAGATTCTGTATCTCTCTCTCTCTCTGACCCCCCATCCCCTGCTCATGCTATTTCTCTCTCAGAAAAANAAAAAAAAAAAAAAAAAAAAAAAAAAAAAAAACATTAAAAACTTAAAGAAAAAAACCCTTTATATGTTATCGGGGGGGGGGGTAGGTTTTGCTCCCTAAATATCAATACATCAAGACAAAAAATTCACCTTATTTCATCTATTTCAACTTGGATTTGTTAGTTCTAAGAATTTGAAGTTAATATATTTTCGGAGTTGCTACGTGATTCATAGCACTTTTAATGACTTCATATGCAGAGAGGTGGAGAGGTAGAATAAAGAATCTGGATCATGGGGCGCCTGGGTGGTTCAGTCGGTTAAGCGTCTGACTTAGGCTCAGGTCATGATCTCACAGTTCGTGGGTTCGAGCCCCGCGTAGGGCTCTGTGCTGACAGCCAGCTCAGAGCTCAGAGCCTGGAGCCTGCTTCGGATTCTGTGTCTCCCTTTCTCTCTGACCCTCCCCTGCTCACGCTGTCTTCCTCTCTCTCTCTCAGAAATAAATAAAACATTAAAAATTTTAGGAAAAAAAAAGAGAATCTGGATCAAAGGAACTCAATAACTTGATGTTAAATCAAGTATAAGGAATCATTTTAAATAGTATTCTTAGAGTGCACCACAGCTAGATTTTTCTCAGTAGAAAAAACTAATAAAAATGGACACAAGATTCTTGGATGGCCAGTTGTAAAAGATTTCTGTCAGCAATTTTCAAATTTGTCTTTGGATTAACTACCCTATAAACCAGGCAAATTACACACAACAAAAGAAGATATCTTGACAATTTTGTATGTAACTGAGAAGCAGAAGGAGTATTTTCAGGCAGCAGTCATAATTTTTCCTTGACTGCTAATATCTGCTTGCTAAACCTTGCACACATCCCCAGGGTGTTGGGTTTTGTAAACATTACTTGATGATGACATACTGAATAATATGAAAATGTGTCTCTCATCCACACCCAAAACCATCCAAAGAACATTTCATATTTTCAGACTGTGGTAAGCATGCTTTTCGGGGACTATTTGTAGTTCTTTAACGGAAAGTTAAATAGGTTCTTTATTAAAAATGAATTCCTGGGCTATCCTTGCAGGAAACAAGATGTCCATAAACCACATGGTCAGTTTTGAAGTCAAATGCTATAGAAATTGAAGTTGTTTCCAACATCTCCTGATAGGAAATGCTGCAAATTCTAAGAACAAATTATTTACTGAAATGAACATGTAGCCAGGTAAGTATTTCTTTGCTTTTACAAACCTAAAA